GACTCCACGGACACTTAAACGATGCTTATTTGGTAAGAACCGATGGAGGAACATGATTAGACGTGAAGGTGCATGCTTTTGCACCTAAAAAAAAAGATTGGTTTTCATGGCATATATAGAATCGTAATCTGGGGTGGTTTTCTTTTTGTGTCTGTCTGTTCAGTTAATATTCTTGCTGCCTTAATAGAAAAAAAAAAATCATATCGAATTTGAGGGGACAATGCATAAAGTTGTCATGTACGAATCCATAAAAGAAGATAAGATTTAATTTTATATAGAGATGAAGCAGAGGGCCAGCTCTATACTGTTTTATTTCTGTGAAGACAAAGAAAGTAGGGTAGAGAACAAGACTCAAAAGATCATCAGCCATTTGACTTACAGTGGATCATGTATAGATTGTAGAGAGCTTGGGTCACGACAGGACAAGTATGAAGTTAAAATTGGTCAAAATTAAGAAAATTCAATTTGATTAAACTAATATTCCAAAACTCAGAAGCGGTGACAAATATTAAAGAGTATCGTTTCGCGGAAAATAGAACATCTATGGCAAAACTTTGTGCACTAAAAGATGTGCACCAAATGTGTAGCATGTGTAGTGAATCACTAAGAACCATAAATTTGATGATTTACATTGATTTGGTGTAAAATATCACGTGAAAGTTTTAGTGTGTATAACATTTTTTTTCCATACAAGGTGAGACTTGCGCGGACTACACCCCCAAATTCAGTAATTGGCCACAGTGGCTTGAGTTGGTCTATAACATGTTCTCAAAGGAAAAAGAGTGACTAATTTTTAAAGAGTATGAAAAGTGATTGAACCTAAAACTTCTGACTTATCAAATGATAGACCTAACTGCTAGACCACCCTAAGGGTTAGTACATATGACATTAATCTTTTTTTAAGTCAGGCATTTTGCTAGGGTGATCAAATAATTGTTTAGATAAAGAACAACCAAATTCCATAAGCCAAACCCCTAGTGATACTAAGTTAATTCCAGACCATTGAATTAGTTATGAATTCCAATACTTTCAATCCAACTTATTATGTCCTCATATTAAGTTTAAATAACATTTTTCAAGAATACCACTCAGCAATATTGTTCAGGCCATTCTCTCTACAGGGAAAGAAAAGCTTTTCAAAAACAAATCCTCAAAGAGAGAGAACATCTAAATCATCAGGACTTGACCTTTCTACTTGCACTGCATGATCAATGTGGCTGCTAGCCAGGCAAAGAAAGCAATATTAATGAGCCATGTTGGATATTATTCCATTCCAAGTGTTTTGTTTTTTTCGAACCTCAGAAGAACATTATATGTTTATATACACATATTTCATTATGTTTTGGAATATTTACAGCATTCTTTCACCAAGAATAGTCGTGATTAATCAATCCCTAGCTTTTTCGATGCTGATTCTGTGATATATTGATATTATTTGAATGGAAGTATAGTGTCAAGTGTTCAGTCACAAGGATATTGGTCAATGAAAATGCGAATATAGGCCTTGCTTTTGCGCAATATTGTAATCTCGTGATCTTACATATGTTTCAAGTTCACTTCAAAACTATAAAACTGTGAGTTCTCTATCCCAAAATAATCAAAAAAAAAAAAAAGACTTGATAAAATCTCTACTCTAAAGGAATATTTATAGATTTGAGTATGGTCAACCCCTAACATGAAAAAATAAGATGCATATATGAAGTGTTGAAATTGATGAAGCAAATTACCAAATGCATATATCCATATCAAAAGTCTCAAACCTAGATGTGCTAAGTTTGAAACTTGATAACTCCTTTGAGGTCAGAGTTATCAGACTATGAAAAATTTATTCTTCATAAATTCTCTAGTCCCGACGTGGTAGATGGTCTGCTTTTGATGGAATCAAGAAAGGGATTAATCATGATGTGTGTAAATTAGTTTGAATACTCCTAGCTGTAATACCAAAAGAAAAAAAGGAAAGAAGCTTAAGTTATTAAGGAGCAAAGTGGGTGTAGGCTTTTGCTACAGCATAATAGTCATAATAATCAAAGTGGGTTTGTTCGTGGGTGATTTCACCTAATGTCGACAATACTTTAACACCTATGACACCTACAAATCAATAAAAAATTATTTGTATGTGTTAAACTTTAAAGAGTTTGATGTATAATCGAGTTCCTACAAAATAAATAAATCATGTCTGACTACACACAATTAGAATACGATAATACATAAACTTGAGATAACTCGACTATAAACAATAAATAATTTTTAATACAATATGACACAAACATAATGATAATATGATATGGTCATTCGGCCCAATTGCATGTCATATTTTCACCCATAGAGTGTTGAGAAGCCGACAGAGATGTGATTTGTGCCTAAGCCTACATAGAAGGTACTACCTACCTCAAGTAGTACTACGTTATTTGAACTTCCAAATGAAGCTGCTAGAGTGAATAGCATTTGATTCTTGGAGACCACAACTTTTTGTTTATGTTTGTACAGTGAGATTCATATGGTGTGTGGCTACAACTAATGTGCCATATGCTCTAGTGATCTAATGGAGTAAGGTGTGCTATATTCTCTAATCAAATGCCTCCTACTCCAAGGAACCAGCTTCTGTCTAGGGAAATTCTAGTTCATGTTCATCCATATTTTAATACCTTCCCTTATATATTCCAATCCACTGGGATTATGTGTGTATATATATATATATATATATGTCTTTCTAAGAGAGTGCTAAGACCTCTAAATTTAGAATCCTCAACTTAGAGTGGTTCATGTTATAGGGGTATCAAAATGTGGACCATAGTAGCCGGAATTGTAAAGCATAGATGAAATTCATGTCAAAAAAAGACGAAAAAAAATACTATATCTCAAGACTTTGGCAGTGTCGGGGCCAGGTTTTTCTCAGGGCCCAAAACATGAATAAATAATAAAAGCTTATGAACTTATAAAGAAGAAAAAGAATTAATAAAGCCACAACATAAATTTTTTTAAAAAAATTAAGGAGATAATGTATGGGATTAATTAAAGAGAGTTATGTTCAACCCTTAGGGTGATTCAATTACTGAGTTTGTTTTTTAGTAACTCAAAAGTCTCAGATTCAATTTTTTTTGTATCTTTTAAAGGTCAATCACTCTTATTCCTTATGAGACATGTTCTAAAATCGCTCGGACTACAATAACTAGTATCTAAACTCGATTAAGTAATGAGCACAAGTTTGTACCTTAGAGAGAGAGAGAGAGAGAGAGTTTATGATCTTTTTGTCACAATATGTATCGAGCTTATTCAAAAGTTAATGAGGGGCAGTGCTGTTACCACATTACCCTTCAACCAAGTTTTGCTAAAATAAGGATGTGCATATTTAACTTTCTTTAAGGATTATACAGAGGTTGTCTAATGATGATGAAGCAATGAATCATTTGGAAATAAAAAATGAACACCCAACATACCTACAATTACAAAGATTACACCTTCAAGCCAAAAGGTAAATTAAAGAAAAATATTATTTTGACTTAATTTAAAGACCTAATAAAAGGAACTAATCGATTAAAGCTGCAGATTTTTTTTTGAAAGTGGGCTTCATACAACTTTAAAGTTCACAACTAATCTAATAATTACAGTGAATTATATCCGGACAACCTACTTTGCAAATTTGCATGGCAGACCCAACGGACAAAGCAACCGAAATCGGTGACTACCTTCTCTTCTTCTTTTCTCATAGTTTTCCCAGCTTTATTTTGTACGTATCTCCCTTTACTTTGCAGGAGTGCATCCTCGTGCTTTTTTGCTTCGGGGCTTGGTATCTATTGCTAATAATTTGCCTTTCTAACGAAGATCTCCACAAAAGAGGGTGCATGCAAACTTATATATACAAAGACTCATGTATATGGATGTATAATACCTAGGAGTCCAAAACAGAATCAATTCTCTTGTTCTTTATGACATTTGAAAAAAAATATATTGCAAAATATTGTAGTTTCCATCAAAAAAAATGGAAAAAAGTATAGCGGAAGTGCAGAATCTATCTACACTATGACCAAATGTTAGATTTAAAGCGGTAGTGTCCATCCACCAGTAACATGTCACTGATTCGAGTTCGAAAATCAATCTTTTTAGAATGAGGATAAGATTATTTATCGCTTATTTTTAACTTATTCCATCGTAGATGAGAATTTTATGCTAATTACGACCTCAAATATATATATATATATATATATGACAAAATGCACTATTTCTTTTCTTTTCTTCTAGGTTTTTTTTGCTAGTCGTGAAACAATAACTGGCACTTGCTCAAATTTCAAGTCAACTAATATGGAAATAATGGAATGAGCTGATCTCTAAATTCCTCTCATGTATGTACACATGTAGGTAGGGCAATAATTTAGGCGACCTACTCGAACTCGGTTTGGAGGTGACTCGATTCGAGCTCAACTCATATTTTAAATGAGTCAAATTTAAACAATTTTTTTAAATATTTTAAAAAATGAACCTCAAAGACTTAGTTCGTTTATATGTAAAATAGTCGAGTTAATTAAGTTCAACTATTTTTTTAAACAAAATGAGTGTGAACAATTTTTTTAATTTATTTAAAAAAATCACTTCAACTCAAACTTGTCAGACTGACGCAGCTAAACAAGTGATGGTTCTTTTGCTTTCTTGTCTTTTTCATTCTTTGTATCATTCAACGGTATTGAAATTCCATGTCACACGCAGTTGCCAAAGGATCTAAGTTTTCGTTTTATTGTACGCAAGGAATTACAGTAAACGTATGTTGGCACAGCAGGTGCATGAAAATACACACTCCAAAGCAAAAGAAGATTGTACGTCTTACAGCTAGGGACCTTATACGAGTATAAAGCTAGTGTGTTCACTCCATGTCACGTTCCAAACCCCCCCCCCCCCCTTCTCTCTCTCTCTCTCTCTCTAGGTTCGAGAAAGTGTTACAGAATACAGAATCACTCCAATCTATAAAGAAAACCTACCTCTCAAACCCATGAAGTGAAAAACTGGAGAGAGAGAGAGAGAGAGAAAAAAAATTAGTTGCCTTAACTCACCATCTCTTCTCTTTTGTCACCTGTTTTGTCTCTCTTCTCTTGGATGTCCTCTTGGAGACCCATACAAAGTACAACAATTATCAGCTTGTGCTGTCTTGCCTCTATAAAAAATATAGAGGGTAAAGAAAAGAGATGGGTTGTAGTGGAAGGTCTTTTAAGGCCTTGTTTGGGGTACTTGCATTGATGGGATTTATTTTGTTCTTCTCGGTTGGGATTACAAAAACTACGACAACGGTGGACTCTCGGCCGGCCGGAAGTTTCAAACGTACAACGGTGAAAGGAGGAAAGAAGATTGATGTTCATCCAGTCTCAGATCTCAACTACATGAGCAAGAGAAGAGTTCCCAATGGACCAGACCCCATTCATAACAGGTACATCTTAGTTTCTATATGCATCATGCATGGGCATGTTGGATTAACCTAAGCTTCATTAGATGGAATTTAATCATCTTCTGTTTTGAATCTAATCATAAATTGAACACAATAATTTTCTCTTATTCGACAACATGTGTAGGCTAATCTTTGGGCTAAACACGTAAAAACCTTTTGATTATTAGGGTAATTGCGAGATTTGAACGCCAAATTTTCTATTCTGATATATACTATGTTAAACCACTAACTCATGTAAAAATTTAAACTATTAAAAAGTGTGTGTAGTAATATTTCAGCAAATCATATTTCATTTATGTCAAATCGAACTAAGAGTTTAGGGTTAGCCCCCTTAAGTATTGTTAGCTGCATGCAAGTTCTTGTTTAAGTTCTCAAGGTTCTATTTTGAACTGTTACAACCATTTATTCATACAAAAAACAAAAGGAAAAAGAAAATATCCATGTCTCTTGACTTTATTTTCCATCTCTAATCATGTTTATTAAAGCTATTTTAAAACCTCACTTGTTCTCTACATTTAAGAGTCCTTTAGTTTAGCCTTTTCATCTTTGCCTTTCTTTTTGTTTGTCTTTGTTCTCCTTTTCTCATTATCAACACACCTAAGCACCTTCATTACAAAAGCACTATTCAATTTGGCATCTTTTCTCTAAAAGCCAAAATTGTACTTCCAAGAAACCAACTCAACAGAATCTGCCACAGCACTTGGTTAGCAATTTGGATATAATATGTATGTGTAAGGCTGATAATTGAACTGAGCTTCTCGACCTCGGCTTGGGTTCTATTCGTTTGGGGCTCATTCAAGCTCGTTTAGAAAATGAGCTCGATAGGCTCGACTCGTTTATTTGTAAATATTTAAGTTTAGCTTAGATTCGACTCGTTTTGGAGTTATTCAGACTTGAATAATTTGTTAAATTTATTTAAAAAAACAATTTCAACATATTTGACTTGAGCTCGATCGATTATTAGTCGTATGCGTGTGTGTAACGCCATAAATGCTGCTTAATTTAAGAAATTAATTGAAATGAAATTATTAGAAAAGAAGCAGATACTGAGAAATCTATTTATGCTTTTTAAACAGGAGAGCTGGGAACTCTAAACAACCTCCTGGTCAAGCTTAGGCAATAGGGGCAGGCTGCAGCGGAGCTTGAGAGACCTCATCCTGACACTAACTACGACGCCCCTAAGCATCTAATGTGTTGTATTGTATTTTTTTTTTTTTTTTGGGGGGAGGGGAGAGGAGAGAAGGGAGCTTAAACCCTTGACTTAAAAAAGGCGGCTCCTTTACAAATCAAGGAGTACCATTGAACCAAGTGTTATGTGTCGTATTTGCTCGTCATCTCAAGTGCCAAACGCTATTACTCACGAGACTGAGTGAATCAAGTCTGCTGACATACTCATCTTATGTGTGCGAGTGCTAACAACAATCTTGTCATCTTGTATGTAATTAGTACTATTGACAGCTTCTAACTTACAAATTTGTTTGTGGTGTTCTAGGGAGGGGAGTGAAGAAAAGAAAGTTTGTTTCACAGAAAGCACTCGTGACAATCCTGAGAAAAATTAAACAACCTTGTAGAGCCAGCTTAGTTTTTACTGTCTATTAATTGTTTGTTCATTTGGGTGTGAGAGTGAGAGTGAAAGAGAGAGAGATTGTTGCATGTAGAAGACCAAATAAGAAAAATCCTATGAGGAGAAAAGTTGACGCAACACAAACCAAGAAATTGTACCAGCAGCCACCAGCCATGCATGTACGAAGAATATGTACCCCCGTCTCTATTTATCAAATCAATCATGTTTGGAACTTCACTTGAATTGTTATTATTATTATTTTTCTTTGTTTTGCAAGAGAACATCATTCTAACTCATTGTGTTTTGGATTTAACATAAATCTCGGGTGCATACACTCATTCACATATGCTAAAAAACTTATTACCTCAATAGAAAACTCGAACTCAAAACATTACTAATGTACACTCATACCGTGTTCGAATAACCAACCCATGCGAGCTCCTTTATTTTTATTTTTTGAAAGTGAGAGCATGTGTTCCAAAACTAAAGCAAAGCCACCCATTAAAGGTGTTTGCACCTGGACAAAAAAGGTTGTTTGCTTCTTGTGTTAGTCTTTTTCACTGGATTCTTTTGGTGTGGGGGTGTGAGAGTACTGCTTTGGTCTTTGTTCATTCAAACTTGTAGAACTATTTGAGATTCTCTAGTTTCGTGGCCTTCAGTAAATAAATATAAACTACACAAAAGCAAGTAAAAAAATGGTGGTACTCTCTGTTCTCTTCAAAGTGAAAAACAAAGTAGGTTCTCTACTATGCTTTTTATCCCCTCTTTTCTCTTTTCTCATGGGTTGGAGTGCCAGCTTAGAAGCCATGACTCGGTCTAAAGTTTGTTAGATTTAAATTGGGACAATTACCTAAAAGGGACAAAGTGAAAAAAAGAAACATAAAATCTGGAAATTGAAACGTTTTGAATTTAAAATTTGACAATTCTTTGGGATTAGACTATGAAAAATTTATCACATAAATATTCTAATTCTGGTATAGATAATTAATCTGCTTTGACCAAAACAGAAAAAAAAAAATTAATCGAAGTGTACGTAAACTAGCTTAGACACCTCTGATCATTAAAACCAAAAAAAAAAAAAAGGAGAATCGGAATGGAGCTTTTGTTGCATGGGAAGTGGATGCAATGGGAATCCATTTTGATACCATGATTTTCAAAAAAAAAAAAAATATCCAAATACCATGATTTTTAAATTATTTTCTAATTTATCATAGTTGCTTGAAAACTTGTTTTCAACCCACATTTTTTAATGTATAATATTTATGTGTGAAAAAACACAATTTAAAGTTTTTTTTGTTAAAAACGTGTTTACATTATCATATAAAGCGTGGTTTCATACCACATTTTTATACAAATAACATCACATTGTGTAATAAATTAACTAAAGATTACAGTACTAAAAGAAAAAAAAAAAATATATATATATATATAAATTTTTGTGGTCTCTGCATAGTCTGAAATGGGCTGTGATGTTTTCTATTAAGACATGATTAATGCAACCCATCCCACATTAACCGGGCCTCCAACCTCCAAGTCATGCCCATCCTTATATGATATGCATAATATTTTGTTACATGCAGGTCGACACATATTGTGGTCTAAAACGACAAATTTGAATAGGGCTTTTTGATTTTTTTTTTTAATATTAATCTATTTTTTATAAAAAAAAAAACAGCTTGTTCAAATACACATTATTGTATTCTCAAATTTAGCTATCATAGTTTATCAATTATTAAGCCACACCCCCTTCTAGTTTACTATATATCTTCAAGAATGCTCTTTTTAGTTTATATTTAAACATCACTAACATCCCTACCATTAAACCACTATTTCTAACAAAAAAAAAAAATTCATCTTAAATACCAAAAATACCCTTTCATAAACCCAAATAAGTTTTCTACATAAAAGTAGATTAAAATTCGAACCGATTAAAATTTATTTTTCTACATATTAAAATTCGAGTTTATTAAAATTTGTTTTTCTACATATTAAAATTTGAGCTGATAAAAAATTCAATTCGAGCTGATTTTTTTTTTGGATCAAAATTCGAGCTGATTAAATTTTATTTTTTTATGTATTAAAATTCAAGCCTGTTAAAATTCCTTTTAAATGTATTAAAATGCGAGCCGATTTGAGCTCTACTTGAGCTGTTAGCTTTGATTAAAATTCACTTCAAGTCAATTAAAATTTATAGTTTTACTTACTAAAATTCGTGTCAATTAAAGTTCGATTCATTAAAATTTCTGTCGATTAAAAGTTATATTTTTTTATGTATCAAAATTCGAGTCGATTAAAATTCAATGCGAGTTGATTAAAATTTGATTTGAGAATCGGCTCAAATTTTAATACGTAAAAAAATATAATTTTTAATCAAATCAAATTTTAATATGTAAAAAATAAATTTAATTAGTTCGAACTGAATTTTAATTTGTCCAAATTTTAATATATAAAAAATTTACAAATAAAGAGGGTCTCATTGAAGATATGTTTATTATCAAGGACAATTTAATAAAATTGAATTATGATTAACATTTTTAATCTGACAGAGAGTGTCAGTAAAAATTTAAAAAATATAAGGATATCTTTGAAAATATAGTAAACTAAGAAGGGGTGTACCTAAAATTTTCCCTTTAGCATAACTTTTTGTTTGATATTTGTAACAAATTTATGAGAAGATTTTTTTGAGGTTAAATTAGTTTTTGGGTAAATTTCATAGATACATTCTTGAATTTAAGTTATATTTCATTGACTTCCTTTCTGATTTTTGAAAATATCACTACACACCCTTATAGTTTATATACACGTTTCACAAACTACCATTGTCATCTAATGTTGTTACTCAAAAGCAAAAAAAGTGGGATGTGGTGATCTATTCTCTTAAAAGTTGCCAAATTTATCCTTGGCCAAATAAAATAAGCTTCAAGTCGTAGGAAACATCATTTTAGTATTAATTTAACTAAATTAAATGCTAATTGGATTAAACATAATGTTTTCTATAAAAAAAATGGATTAAACAAAATATTAATTTGGTGTTAATTTTAAAAAATAATATTAATTTGATAAAAATAAATATTAAATTCAAAAAATTGAATGTTAATTTTACAAAATTGATTAACCATTTGGTATTAATTTGATGTAATTGAGTGTTAATTTGAAATTCAATCAAAAAAAAATGTTAATTTGATGAATTGAATGTTAAATTAATGAAATTAAACGTTAAATTGGGGTTAATTTGATGAAATTGGATATTAAATAAATAAAATTAAATGTTAATTTTGGACTAATTTGAAAAAATTAGGTATTAATTTTATAAAATTAAATATCAATTTGATGAGATTGAATATAAGTTTCTTGAAATAAATTGGTATAAAATTTAAGATCAATTTCACGTTAATTTGGTAAAATCTTGTATTAATTTG